AGAGCAAACGAAAAAATAGTGTTAGTATTAGTCTCATTCATCTTTGATCATGGTCAAATGGAGAATAGGTCTTCACATCTCTTGAAACAATTTCTTTGACTGGCTGTGTCATTCTTAAAGGCCCAGTGTGCACCATTATGCTTTGGGGGCCACAAGGGCCGGGAGGCGGCCATTTTCAGTTTACCGAAAGTCTATAAATTGYACTGTKTGTTTCGAATCTTTGACCATCTCACTTTTCTAAGCACTTTAAACGCTAATATAAGAGTTTTCAACCATCTGAAATCAGTTTTATCAGTTTTAGATATTTGGATACTAGAAGTATTTTGGTGTAAATCATAACAATAACAGAGGTGCGCAAAGCATAATGGTGCAAACTGGGCCTTTAAAGGAACTACATGTATGTCACTTTTGTTTTCTTCTTTTGCTTCAACAAACCCACTGGATTACATCTTTGTGAGGTTATAAAGTCCACCATAAAAAAATGTAATCCAGTGACTTGTAAGTCTCAAACATTCAATTGCTTATAAACAAATATAAAGAAAATGACTGATAAGACAAAAAAACAAAATCATGTTAAATGTCTGACCTTTGATTGTATGTGTCCCAGAATWCCACTAGGTGTACCAACAACAATATCAGGTAAACTCATYAACAGGGGTCTGGAAATCAATATCATAAGTTCAGCATATGTKACATTTTGWAGTTTGCTTGTTATATTTTCATAAAACATGATTCAAGAAGTTTTTTTTCATTTAGAGCTTTTACTCTCTCTTAACCAAAACAATGACAATCAATTTTAAACTGTGATCTTTCTGGGACAGTCAGCACWGATGGGAACAAATTGTACAATAGTTGAGAAACAGTGGACAAACAATACATGTAGATAACTCAGACTTCCAAACAATAAAACAAAATCTAACCTAACAGAGCTGCTGTTCTTAAGGAGTAATCAAAAATCAGGTTTTRGYCAGTRCTATATCACTGTCTTTTATCCATCGTTTCATTATAAATCAACTATCATACATACTTTGTATTAGCCAAGTTTCCTTGGGCAACATCAGCAGTTCTTACTTCACGGGAACAATAACATGACAAGTCCTTCAGRTTTCTTGYAGCTTGTTGAGCCAATTCTTTTGTAGGAACAAGAACCAGGGCTTTTACTTCTGACTCAAAATTACTCTGAAAAAAAATATAAATAAATAAATCAAACAGAATAAAGAGTGTATGGATGTTAAAATATTATTTTAATCTGTAAATTATGCAATTCCAGGTCTTTCAAAGTGTATCAAAAGCTRCTAAAGATACTCATGGTTTTAATTTTYYCCCCRTTGAGGAATTGCTWACTAACAGCAGATYCATTTTCATTTAATGTCTACCAACGAGGAAGCCATACTGTTATACTATAGCTTCCAAAAAGAGCTCGGAGTTTGAAGTACTGCAATGCTTCAACTAATGCTGCTTCAGATAGAGAGAGGTATACATGTAGTTTACAGTAGAAACATTATTTAATTCTAGAATCCATTATACAGAACTTCTGTAATAATTCAAGTGTAAAGTGCACTTAGATTCATTTAATTCTTGTAACCAGAGCCTTATTAGTTTCTCAATGGAAAATTGAAGTCTCTGGTC